CAGCCTGTAATCCCACGCCTTGGGAGGCTGAGGTGAGTGGATTGCCTGAGCCCCCGGGTTGGTGACCCGCCTGGGCAACTTGGCGAGACCTCATCTCTACAATAAATCAAAATGAGCCAGGTGTGGTAGCATGCGCCTGTAGTTCCAGCTACTTGGAAGGCTGAGGCGGAAGGATCGTCCAAGCCCAGCAGGTCCAGGCTGTGGTGGCCAGGAGTGGCCACTGTGCTCCAGTCTGGGCTACAGAGTGAGACGCCAACTCAAAAAAAACAAAACATAACGTAATTAATGGGATGGCAACTTTTCCCAAAGACTTGGGGGTCCTTGAAGCTCGTAAGCAAAATCCTATGTGTACCTTTGAGAGAATTCATTGGCTTATATGCCCTTTTACGTGCACTTTTCTTCATGTAAAAACTTTGCATATACAGTATAAAAGTCTAGGCAGGGCGCGGTGACTCATGCCTGTAATCCTAGCACTTTGGGAGATAGAGGTGAGAGGACTGTTTGAGCCCAGGAGTTCGAGATCAGCCCGACTACACAGCGAAACCTTGTCTCTACGAAACATTAAAAAAAATAATAGTAAAACTCTGCGGGCCGGGCTCAGTGGCTCAGCCTGTAATCCCAGCACTTTGGGAGGCCGAGGTGAGTGGATTGCCTGAGCCCGCGGGTTCCCGACCCGCCTGGGCAACCCGACGAGACCTCATCTCTACACTAAATCAAAAATTAGCCGGGCGTGGTAGCGCGCGCCTGTAGTTCCAGCTATCTGGAAGGCTGAGGCGGAAGGGTCGCCGGAGCCCAGGAGGTGAAGGCTGCGGTGGCCGGGAGCGGCCACTGCACTCCAGTCTGGGTGACAGTGAGACTCCAACTCCAAAAAAGCCCCCAAAACTCTGCAAATGTACGATGTTACTTGCGGGGTGGGGGAGTCGACAGCTTGCCTGAGATTCTCAATAGGGTCCAAGACCAAAGACAGGCTGTCACCCACCGGTACAGTGAGAGGCTAGCGGAGTTGAGGGCTCTCACCGCCGACAAACGTTCCCCGCATGCATGTGAGTGCAAGGAGGAAAGCAGAGCGGAGCCGGCCGTTCCGGAGCTCGGCAGTGAGGAGCCACGGGAAGACAGTCCGGTACTCACGCCCGCTTCTTGAGGTGGTGCCGCGTGGTCAGCCCTTGGTCTATCACAGCCCCGACCGTCCGGTGCTTCAGTCGCCGCTCCCGGCTCAACACCCGCCGGCGCTTGAACAGCTTCTTCTTCAGTTCCTGCGCGGGAGAAAGACGCTAATCAGACAGAGGGGCGCCCCGCAACCCGGGACCGCCGCACCTCGTCACCCCGGCACCCCATCGACCTCATCTCTGGCGAGACGAGACGGGTCCGCGACGCTTGGGGAAACAAAGTCGCAGCCCCCACATAGTCACCGTTCGGGGACGGTTGATCTTCCCCCCCGGAGCCCCCATGGTCGCTCCCAACGCCAACTCGCGGCGGCACTTCCGCTCCGCGCTACGTCCGCAGAGCTCCGCCCCTCAAGCCTCCGCAAGCCAATCACTGCTTGTGGGCGGGTTCCAGGGCTATATAAGTTGGCTCCGGGCGGTTGGAGGTCCTTTGGAGGACGGTGATTCAGTGAGTGTAGGTTCGGCGGAGAATCGAGGAGGCGGGGCGGGGGCTGCGGGCGGGGACTGCGACCCTCCTTTTCTTGGCGGGGGCCGGGTGTGTAGTCCCGCTCCCCGTTATGTACGGAGGCAGAGGGAAAGGGCTCCGGCTCCCTCGGCGTCATGTCTTCGGTGCCGGCGGCTTCTCGTCCACCGGTTCTATCCTCAAGCGCCGAGACACCCGGCTTCTCAGAGCAGGGCAGCACCGAGTTCCGGCGGGCTCTTCCCCGGCGTGCTCACGTCTTCTTTGGTTTCAGGTCTACAGACGCCGTCCCAGAAGCAGGAGGTGCCACTTCTCTTCCACTTCCCGCTGCAACCAATAAAGGCCGTTCCTACCGTAGTAGGCGTGTGTCCGCGTTCTTTTTTCCAAGGCTGCAGAGTTCGGGAGGCCCCTAGCTGGAGTGCCGGCGACACCTGGCACAAGATTCTCCAGGCCCAACTTGCCGGTCCCTCGGATGGCCGCACTGCGCCGAACCTTCCACGTGCTGCGCCTGGTGATGGGGGCGCCACGCATCCTGGCGGGTAGGGATGGTGGGGACAGGATGGGAGGGCAAGGTGGATTCTTCGGGAGCTGGGAGTCTAGGCCCTGCCATTGTGGCTTTTTTTTTCTTATTTTTTTTTTTTTTGAGTTGGAGTGTCTCTATTACCCAGGCTCGACCTGTTGGGCTCAGGGGATTCTTCTGCCTCAACCTTCCCAATAGATGGAACTACCGGCGCGCGCCATCACACCTGGCTTTTTTTCTTTTTTTCATCTGTTGTAGAGATGAAGTCTTGCCAAGATGGCCCAGGCAGGTTTTGAACCCCTGGGCTCAGGCAATCCTCTTGCTACCACCTCCCAAAGTGCTGAATTACGTATAGGTGTGAGCCACCGCGGCCAACCTCTTAAGACACAAGATGCACATGCACCATTTTTTGGTGAGATGCAACTCGGACACCAGGTGACAAACACCCTCCACCCATGTCCACAGGCTCCCTGGCCGGTAGCTGCCTGGCGGACCGTTGCCTCTGGGATCAGCTCCACACCACGTTGTGGCTGGGCAGCGTACCCACCTTCGACTGGTTCTTTGGATATGAGGAAGTCCAGGACCTCCTGCTGCCATTCGTGCAGGAGGCACGGGCTGCCTGTCCTCTGCGGGTCCTGGATGTGGGCTGTGGGACCTCCAACCTGTGCACAGGCCTGTACACCAAATCCCCACACCCAGTGGATGTGCTTGGAGTGGACTTCTCTCCCGTGGCAGTGGCCCACATGAACAACCTCCTGGATGGTGGCCAAGGCCAAGCACCTCTGTGCCCTGGGCACCCTGCCTCCCGGCTCCAATTCATGCAGGCTGATGCCCAGAACTTGGGGCCTGTGGCTTCCTCAGGCTCTTTCTAGCTATTGCTGGACAAGGGAACCTGGGATGCTGTAGCCCGGGGAGGTCTACCTGGGGCTCACCAGCTGCTGTCAGAATGCCTGAGGGTCCTAAGCCCCCAGGGGACCCTGATTCAATTCTCAGATGAGGACCCTGATGTCCGGTTGCCATGCCTGGAGCAAGGGTCCAATGGCAGGACTGTGACTGTGCAGGAGTTAGGCCCTTTCAGGGGCATCACCTACTTTGCTTACTTGGTTCAAGGCTCTCATTAAAGAGATTTCAGTCCTGACCCTAATACTGGTCAAGGTAAGGGCTGGAGAGAGCTTTGTCTGCATGATAGATTGCTGAAAAATGGGAACTTGCATTCTGGTTTCCACATTTACTAGTTAGGTGCCACATACTGCCCAGTTGTGTGCCCCAGTCTTTTCATCTGCAAAATGGGAATAATGCCTGGAGTTATGGAAATAATTCCACGAGGAAGGTACAGGTGGATCGTTACGCCACTTCCAACTACCTGGAGCCCCTAAAAGTAGAGGATTTGGAACTCAGTCCAAATCTCAATATTGAGTTGTATTATCTGGTAGCCTACCTCTAAGCCTAATTTTTCTTGCCTGTGTAAAGGGGAGACTGAGAGGATGCGTAGGAGGGCTTCACAAACAAACCTAGGCAAAATGTTCGAGGAAGAGAACAATACTTACCCTCAAAACTACTGGGAGGCAGGAGATGGGAATATTCCACAAAGCGGCTTCTACGAACTATGGAGCCTGATGCTGGGTCCCAGAAATTACAGAGGTTGGGGGCTTCCTGACACTCAGGAATCCAGGAGACGTCTTGCTCTTCCTGCTCGTGCCCCCAGGTGAGTCCAACATTAAATGTTCTTAAGGGAGATCGAGGGTCCTGTGGACTCCAAGCCCAGCCTGGAGGAAAGGGGTTAAGGGAGTTAGAAAGCTCAGTGAAAAATGTTTCTGATATACCGAATTTTTGAATGGTTATTAAGCTAGTCTGTGTAATATGTTTTGTTTATGAAAAAGTAAGCAATTACAATATGATTAGGAGCCAAACATCACAGACCAGTTTTTGTTTTGTTTTGAGTTGGAGTCTCTGTCGCCCAGGCTGGAGTGCAGTGGCCCATTCATGGCCACCACAGCCTCAGCCTGCTGGGTTCAGGCAATCCTTCCCCTTCAGCCTTCCAAGTAGCTGGAACTACAGGTGCGCTACCATGCCCAGCTAATTTTTTTATTTATTGTAGAGACATTTCTCCAAATTGCCCAGGCTGGTCTCGAACCCCTGGGTTTAGGCAGTCCTCTCACCTCAGCCTCCGAAAGTGCTTGGAATTATTGACTTGAGCCACTGTACCCAGCCACACCCCAGTTTCAAGTATCTCCCTCATTGGGTTCTGAAAATTATGAGGTAAAAATGTTTGGCACAGTGCCTTGCACATAGTAAAAACTGAAAAAAGATGTAAAAATGCTCCAAAAATGTAGCTTTTCTAGCAGCATATAGACACGGAAAAAAATCTAGGAGATAACTAAAATGGTAACTATTTCTGGGTACTTGGATTTGGGGTAATTTTGTTATCTTTTTCCCACAACAAACTAATACTTGCTAATTTTATCTGTAGTAAGTAAATAACAATGTTTGCATGTAGATACTTTAAAATATTAGAAGTACAGATTAAAGGATGTCATCCAAGAAAAAGGAATGTCATCCGTTCTGACACCTAAGCCTCTAGTGTTCATCTTTGCTAACTGCCTTGACTTCTCTCTCCACATCGTCTCACATGTAGTAAAACCTACTGTGTACACAGCACTGCTGAATGCGGGTGACACAACTGAGTTTTCCACTTTGGCTCTACCCCAAACATCCTCGTCATAGTGGTCCCACTGAACCAGCCACCTCCCTCACCTGGCTCTTCACTTTGGTCCTGGAAAAAGGCCTCAGCCTCCTCTTCCTCACCATCAGTGAGCAGCAGCAGCTCCTCATGGGGCCACTGGAGATCCTCACTCTCTTCTTCAGAGGCTTCCACCACAATAGAGGGCAGGCGGTGCTTTTGAGAGACAACCTGAATAGGGACAGCAGGGAGATTGGGCCAAACTGGAGAACAAGACAGCTGCAGGACACAGGGTGAGAGTACTGACCTGAATATCCTGGTGACCTTCAACTCTGCCAGTCTCTCCCATGTCTTTCCATAGAGGGTTGATCAGTCTGGGACTTTCTGGATACCTGGAGGACCCTGGGCTATCTCTATCCCAAAGCCCATCCTCCTCGCTGTTCCCTGGCACAAGGGCCATGATTGTGAGTACAGGGCGGTAGAACTCAGAATAGAGTACTCCTGCCCAGTGCCCCGCAGACTGCTCCTTTAATCTTCTTTGGAGCCTAGCCCCTTAATCACTTCTGAAGGGAGAAGGATGACACGCTAGATTATGGGCCTTCCAGGGGAGAAGAAAATGCCAAAGGGGTGGGGTAGGAGCTTTATTTCTACTTACTGTCTGTAGACACTGGGATGACAGCAAGGGTAGGAGACAACAAGGGCATCTGGATTAAAGTTCTGAGTGGAGAGCCTTGATAATGAACTTAGAATTTCCTGACTCCTTTGCTTAATGGTTTTCCCAAGCTGGCATGCTTGTTTGTATCTTACTTAATAAATATTTATGGTGGTGTTTACTATTTGCCAAGAACTGTTTAGGTGCTTTACATATAACTCATTTAATTATCCTAAAACTATGAGCCAGGTACTGTTATAAGCTGCATTTTCTGATGCAGAAACCAAGGCACAAAGAATTTAAGTAATTTAGCTATGGTCACACAGCTAAGCAGTGTTTTCTTCCAAGAGGTAGAATTCAGTACTACACGAAATAGAGTTTTCATGTTTAAAAAACAAAACGAGGCCAGCCGTGGTGGCCTGTAATCCCAGCACTTTGGGAGGGGAGGCGAGAGTATTGCCTGAGTCCAGGGGCTTGAGACCAGCCTCGTCTCCACAATTAAAAAAAAAAAAGTCATCCGGACATGGTAGCCTGCTGTAGTCCCAGCTACTTGGGAGGTTGAGGCAGAAGGATCGCCTGAGCCCAGCGGGTCGAGGCTGCGGTGACCGTGAGCGTGCCACTGCACTCCAGCCAGGTGTGACAGTGAGACTCCAACTCAGAAAGCAAATAAACAAACAAACCGAAAACCAACACTAATGGTATAGCCGAACGGGAAAAGTAACAGGTTATTTGTAAAATAAGGAAAAAATATGTAACTATAATCTGTTTTCCCAGGAGTACACTTGGTTGTGAGTTTTTGCTCCAGATTTGAAGAGCTTGAAGGGGGGGGTAAATAGATCGATGTAAGTATTGGAGGACCGCTATGTACTGTATTGAAAACGTCCAGCCACAGGCTCAGCCTGTAATCCCGCGTTTTGGGAGGCTGAGATGAGTGGATTGTCTGAGCCCGCGGGTTCGAGACCCGCCTGGGCAACTTGGCGAGACCTCATCTCTACAATAAGTCAAAAAATTAGCCGGGCGTGGTAGCGCGCGCCTGTAGTTCCAGCTACTTGGAAGGTTGAGGCGGAAGGATCGCCGGAGCCCAGCAGGTTGAGGCTGCGGTGGCCGGGAGCGGCCACTGCACTCGTCTGGGTGACAGAGTGAGATTCCAACTCAAAAACAAAAAAAGAAAAGAAAACATCCGAATGATGCAGTATACCAGAGCACAGCTCAGCCCTCTACTGATCAGGAAATTTCGGAAGGCAGAAAACTGCATTTGTAAAACCTACAGGAATAGAGACATGCATCCTCCCCCTAACAATCCCGCTCTGGATTTTTTTTTTTTTTTTTTAAATACCAAAGTTAAAATTTATTGGCATAAATGTGTAGGGATTGTGAAAGTTATCAAATTATTAATACTGCTTCTAATTTACCATAGGAGTTACTTCCCAAAAATGTTAACCACAGCTGGATTGAAAGAGTATTTGGGAAATGTGGCAATGTTGTTTATATAAGTATACCACATTATAAGTCTACTGGAGATCCAAAGGGATTTGCCTTTGTGGAATTTGAAACAAAAGAACAAGCAGCAAAAGCTATTGAGGTAGGCCCGGATCCTTCCCGAATTAGTTTCTTAGTGTTCCTGTTCTCCTCCCCCGCTCTGGATTTGATTGACAAAGGGCGCCCTGCGTTTAGACCTCGGTGCCGACACTTTTCCTAGACTCGCTCAACCTTCTCGGATAATCCTATTAAAACGGGGCGTCGTGGAGTACAGGCGTTTGGATGGCCAGTCCCTCTCTAGCCGGGTCGCGACTCTATGGTTTCCCCTGTGGGTCGCTCTAGCCTACGCAGGGGACGGCGAGACGTCAGCGGCTGCCGTTCTCCGTTGCGGGAGACTCCAGAGGGCGCCAAGCCGTTCGCGCCGCCGGCCATGGCTTTCGTCCGGAAAGCGCTGCTCACGGTCGCAGTGCTGGGCGCGGGGACTGGCGTGGGCGTCGCGCTCTTTGCTCTCGTGACCCCGGGAGAGCTGCAGAAGCAGGCGATGCTGAAGGTAGGAGCAGCTGGGAGTCTCCGAGTGGGGTGAGCGGGCGGAGAGCCCCCGGCTAGGGGCCGGGACTGCGACCCTCCCTTCCTGCCCTCAGGAGATTCCAGAGCAGGACCCGCGGCGCAGGGACGAGGCAGCCAGGACCCAGCAGCTGGTGCTGGCCACTCTGCAGGAGGCAGCAGCCACGCAGGAGAACGTGGCCTGGAGGAAGAACTGGACGGTTGGCGGCAGCGGGAGGTCCGCGTGAGACCTGACTTGTCTCGTGGGCGCTGGGGTCTGGCTCGGGCGCAGGAGCCCGAGGTGGCCTTTTGCCTCCATGGGCCCGGCGAGGAGTCCAGACGCAGGACGAGGTACCCAGGACGCTCCCGGGCCCAGGGAGCTGCCGCCTGGTGAGCAAGGTTCCCCCAACCCCTGCACTGAGACGTGAATCAGATGTGGCGAACTGAAGGAACCAATAAATCATGTTCATAATCCAGAGTGAGCCCTGCGGTCGGATGCCTACCAATGCTTAAAGACCCGTGGTGGGTTCTGTGAACCCAGTCTGCAGCTGCTGCCTGGCCCAACCCCCAGGAGAAGCTGAGGCCCAATAGGCATAGCGAACACATTTTCTTTCTTTTTATTTATTTGGTTTTTGCTTTTTTTTTGAGTCAGAGTCTCACTCTGTCGCCCAGGCTGGAGTGCGGTGGCATGCTCACGGCCACCGCAGCCTCGACCTGCTGGGCTCAGGTGATCCTTTGGCCTCAGCTTTCCAAGTAGCTGGAACTACAGGCATGTGCCGCCACCCTGCTAATTTTTTGATTTTTTGTAGAAATGAGGTCTCGCCAAGTTGCTAGGGCTGGTCTGGAACCCGTGGGCTCAAGCTGTCCTCTCATCTCGGCCTCCCAAAGTGCTGAGATTATAGGCGTGAGCCACTGTGCCTGGCCTTTTTTTTTTTTTTTTTTTAAAGTCAGGGATCTTACTCTGTTGCCCAGGCTGGAGGGCAGTGGCATGACCATGGCTCACTGCAGCCTTGACCTCCTGGACTCAGGTGATCCTTCGGCCTCAGCCTCCCCAGTAGCTGAAACTACAGATCCACAGAATTTTTTTATTTTTTTATTTTTATTTATTTATTTTTTTCTGAGTTGGAGTCTCACTCTGTCACCCAGACTGGAATGCAGTGGCCGCTCCCGGCCACCGCAACCTCGACCTGCAGGGCTCCGGCGATCCTTCCACCTCTGCCTTCCAAATAGCTGGAACTACAGGCGCATGCTACCACACCCGGCTAATTTTTTTGACTTATTGTAGAGATGAGGTCTCGCCAAGTTGCCAAGGTGGGTCTCGATCACTCGGGCCCAGGCAATCCACTCAGCCTCCCAAAGGCGCGGGATTATAGGCTGAGCCACCGAGCCTGGCCATGAATTTTTTTTTTTAATGAGCTTTTGTTAGAGATGAGGTCTGACTAAGGCATGGGATGAGCCACCACCCCTGCCACGACCAAATTTCAAAGTAAGTCATGTGGTGTAAATTGGAGTTTACTTCCAGGGATAACTGTCACATTCTTGAAAGCATAAGTGTATACAACCCTCCACTGCTAAATTTGACTGGCTTAAAAAAAAAAAATTGTAAGTATCCTGGAAAATCTTGTAGCAATGGGTGCATACAGAACAGGGGTCCCAACCCCCGGAGCCACAGACTGAACTGGGCAGCACAGCAGAAAGTGAGCGGAAGGCAACAGAGCAAAGCTTCATCTGTAACAGCTGATCCTCATCACAACCTGAGCTCCGCCTCCTGTCAGATCAGCCATGGTGATGCTAGCTCTGAGGGGAGGCTGCAAATACAGGTTAATATCAGTAAAGAGGCTGTGTGTGGTGGTTCATGCTTATAATCCCAGCACTTTGGGAGGCTGAGGTGAGAGGATTACCTAACTCATAGGTTCGAGACCAGCCTGGGCAACTTGGCAAGACCTCATCTCTACAATAAATCAGAAAATTAACCTGGCATGGTGGCACATGCCTGTAGTTCCAGCTACTTGGAAGGCTGAGGTGAAAGGATCATCTGAGCCCAGTAGGTCGAGGCTGCGGTGGCTGTGAGTAGCGTGCCACTACACTCCAGCTTGGGCTACAGAGTGAGACTCTTGACTCAAAAAAAAAAAAGTAAAGTGGACCTACTGGAGATGGCATTGAAGGGATGAGAAAACAGTGTGAGGTCATAGCCCAGTCAACTTTTGTTTTATGTATCCTGTGGTTCACAAGCAAGATTGCAACAGAAGAAAGGCTGCTTTCATTAAAGTCAGAACTCTAAAGCTTTGTAACACTGAAGTGTAAATCCAGATATGATCACTGGTGCTATTTTTAGTTGCTGAAAAATATGTGTGATCTTTACAGTTTAACTGTGGCCACTTCCTTAGCTTAGGAATGAGAAGAAAATCAGCAGCTGTTTGACAGGGCACTAGCAAGAGGGACTATCATGGAGAAGCTTGGCAGTTCAGGACCTGAGCTCAAGAGTCAGGCTTCCCAGGTGTGTTTAGAAGCAGATGTCTTTTACTATTTGCTATCTATGTTATTTTGGGTAAGGACCATGGGCTTTGGTGTCCTGATCTTTCAAAGGGGTAACTACTTACACCTAGATAGTAATGCTATCATACCCCAGTTAATATATATAAAACATTTGAAACTGTGTGTAGTACATGTTAAGTACTCAGTACCTTTTTTTTTTTTTTTTTTTTTTTTTTGAGTCAGAGTCTCACCTTGTCACCCCAGGCTAGAATGCACTGGCAAACTCATGGCATGGCCATTGCAGCCTTGACCTGCTGGGCTCAGGGGATCCTTCTGCCTTGCCAGGCTAGGGTGCACTGGCAAACTCATGGCATGGCCATTGCAGCCTTGACCTGCTGGGCTCAGGGGATCCTTCTTCCAAGTAACTGGAACCACAGGTGTGCGCCCAGGTATTTATTTATTTATTGTAGAGACAAGGTCTTGCCAAGTTGCCCAGGCTGGTCTCGAAACTTGAGGATCAGGCAGTGCTGTCACTTCTGCCCCCCAAAGTGCTGAGATTACAGGCATGAGCCATTGCGCTTGGCTCAAGTATTCAGTACTTTTTTTTTTTTCTTGAAGTTTCACTCTGTCACCCAGGCTGGAGTGCAGTGGCACACTCATGGCCACCCCAGCTTTGACCTGCTGGGCTCTGACGATCCTTTCTGCCTCAGCCTTCCAAATATCCAGAACTACAGGCACGCCAGCACGCCTGGCTAATTTTTTATTGTAGAGATGAGGTCTTGCCAAGTTGCCCACGCCGGTCTCGAACCCCCAGGCTAAGGCAATACTCTTGCCTTGGCCTCCAAACCAAGCCCAGCCCGGAGTCTGGTTTTAACATAGTCTTAATGCAGAAGAGATGCAGTCGTGAAGATCACCCTAATGCTTCTCTCAATATTTGTGGATAGCCATATTTAAAAATTACTCTAGCCAGACATGGTAGCGTACACCTGTAGTTCCTGCTACTTGGAAGGTTAAGGCGGAAGGATCTCCAGAGCCCAGCAGGTTGAGGCTGCGGTGGCCGGCAGCATGCCACTGCACTGCAGTCTGGGTGACAGAGTGAGACTCCAACTCAAAAAAAGAATTACCCATTTAGTAGCTAATTCTCGGGACTTACTATGCCAGGCACTATAGTAAAGCACCTAATATCAGCATTATGTATTGAAAATTGAACCCTCATGACAACCCCAAGAAATAGGCATTATTATCCCTATTCAAGAAGAAATTAGGCTTAAGTCAAGGCACACAGCTAATATGGACTTTACACTTGTGCATTCTTTTTTTTCTTTTTTTGAGTTGGAGTCTCACTCTGTCACCCAGACTGGAGTGCAGTGGCCGCTCTCGGCCACCACAACCTCAACCTGTTGGGCTCCGGCGATCCTTCTGCCTCAGCCTTCCAAATAGCTGGAACTATAGGCGCATGCTACCACGCCTGGCTAATTTTTGATTTATTGTAGAGATGAGGTCTCACCAAGTTGCCCGGGCAGGTCTTGAACCCGCGGACTCCCAAAGTGCTGGGATTACAGGCTGAGCCTCCAAGCCCGGCTGCATTCTTTCTTTTTTTCTTGAGTTGGGAGTCTCACTCTGTTGCCCAGACTGGAGTGCAGTGGTATGCTTACGACCAATGCAGCCTTGACCTACTGGGCTCAGGCAGTCTTTCCACCTCAGCCTTCCAAGTAACTGGAACCACAGGCACATGTCACCATGTCCAGCTAATTAATTTACTTACTTGAGTTGTAGTCTCACTCTCTCACACAGGCTGGAGTGCAGTAGCATGCCCACAGCCACCCCAGCGTCAACCTACTGGGCTCAGGCTATCCTTCTACCTCAGCCTTCCAAGTAGCTGGAACTACAGGTGCATGCTACCATGCCCAGATAATTTTTTTTTTTTTTTTTTTTTTTT